GGGGGGGGGGGGGGGGGGGGGGGGGGGGGGGGGGGGGGGGGGGGGGAGACTCATAGTCGTGCACGCCGCAGTCGTTAGACCATTGAACCCGTACCCGGGAGGGGCGTGCTGAAGGCTAGACTGGCGTGGGTAGAAGCAACGCATAGAATTCCATTTCGATCAGCTGGTGGAGCATTAATCATCACCAAGGAGGAACCGGGGGATGGAACGTCGACCGGGAGGGGAAATTGAGTTTCGTGGTCGTCCTTTCTCGGCCAGCAGCTGTTCAGGTCATCTGGAGCAGGGGAGGGGGGGTAGGGATTCAATGCAATAGCGGTCCCCGACGGGCTGGGGTCCAACGCGGATGGAGCTGCAGCAGCTGGTGCTAGCGGCCTCGGTTTATCCTGAGGTCGTTGTTGTAGATCGGGCAAAGGCACTGGGGGTCCAAAGGGGATGGAGCTGCAGCAGCTGGTACTGGCCTGAGGTCGCTGTTGTCGATCGGGCAAAGATAACCGCACGACCGTCATGAGGTCTCCATGACAATGTACCGGCGCACGGCGGTGTCACGAACACAAAAGCTTCGAACACGATACGCCGCCGCGTTTTGGCTTGGCAGCATGAAATCTATATACCAAAAAAATCCCGTCAACAACCCACGTCGCAACGCCTACAGGTCCTAGCTCATTTCTAGAGCTACCTACGCGCCACGACCGCACACACAGTGCTTGCCAATTTTCCGGGGGGCTACGAGCCCCTCATGCAGCCTAGCAGCCCTGCCCCCCCATTGCGTATGGTTTGACTACTCCTGGTGCCTTGATATACTGTTTTGACACCGCGCAATTGTCAAAGCGAATCACAAGCTACACACGTAAATCTCCGTTTTTTAGTCTAAGGCAGTTCTACTTCGCTCCAGGCACACACAAGCAACGCTTGCCCTCAGACAAAGGGTACAACCCAGCGCGTTTTGAAGGAAAGGGGGTGCGCAACCCTCCCTTCGTTTTGTTGTATAGATCCACGGAAAATGAACGAAAACACTCTTGAATCTTGCCCTTCCACTACAATTGGGTTCCGAGTGCAGCATTCTAACTTTTGGGCCCGAAAGCACATGCCCCTTTTCTCAACATGTTCAGGTTTCTAAACATGGGTCCAGCACACGATCAAACTCCTCCTGAAGAAGTTTAAGAGACAGACTTGATTAACTCCTGGCCCCCTCGAGGGCGGCCACGCATTCCGACACGGGCTTCCCCTCGCGGAAGGCCTTCATGACCGACTTCAACTCCGGTTCGTGGCTGGACAGCAGCCTGTGCGCCATCAGCGTCGCCCACCTGATGATGCGATTGGTCGGTCGGCGGCAAGCGAAAGCGAGGAGACCGATGAAGAGGTTGTTGAGCGAAACCGCAAAGACAAAACGAAGTTGCCAAGAGACAAGCCAGAAGAGGAGGCCAAACGACACCGAAAGCAATAGCATCTCCCAGAGAAAAATACCCCAGCCTTGAACCGGGGCCAGGAAAGCTCTCATTCTTCTGCTGCTTTGTCAGCATCGGTTTTTCCTGTCCTCTGAAACAGCGTGGTGCGCTGGCTGGCCGAACACAAAGTAGGCGGTAAAAATGACACTAGTAGATATAGAGAGAAAGGCAGAGGGAGTTACGAGGTTCCTCCCCCCTCTCCACCTCTCTCTCTCGCTTGGTGTGTGTTCCTCTCCCCCTGAGTTAAGTCCATCTCGCCCCACCCCCCCTCCTTCTTGCCCCGCACCCCTACCCCTCCAACCTCCTTTTCTCGTTTCCTCGGCGTGAAGCAGCCGTCCCTCAACTCAAGGCAAGCCCCCCCCCTTCTCCTCGACCCCACAGCCACCCTCTCGTTACCGCATCTTGCCTGGCTTGCGACTGCTGTTCCTTCCCGTCCATAGGCGGGTTGGTCTGGTTCATGATCTGGCCAAGGTTGTCCAGGTCTGAGGCCCCCCCGGTGGCGGTGCCGTACGAAAGAGCCTCCCCTACCGCCCCGGACATCGCCACGATGGAAACCTGTTGTCGGCGAGTACAAAAACGAGGTTCGATAATCGACCAACCAGGACGTCCACGCAGTAAAAATCGCGTGGTGTAGGAGGGCATCATATGCAAAAACAGAAAAGTTTCTCCGAAGCTTAGAAAGACCTCCGTTGCAGCTGGTGCGGTGTGGAACGTTGCAGCCAAGCCACCATCGATCGATCGGGAGAGAAAACAACATAAAAACTGCGACGACGGCAGGGCAACATGAACTCCTGCTGCGGGTAGTTGGTACTACAATAGCTAGGTTTTACAAGACGCGCGCCAAACATGTTAAGAATCCCCAGCAAACCGCGCGTGTGGCGGTGCGTGTGGGCAAGCTTAGACATGCTTTGGTCGCCAAAGCTCATTTCACGGTAAGCAAGGACATGCGTGTCGCCGTGCTCACTACTTGGAAAAGACGGGGGGCGGGGGGGGCGGCGGGGGTCCCACCTACAGGCCACGCCGCGGGAGGTACGGCGATTGCACAGGGGAGGAGGGAGTCGTCGCGCCTTCCCAACGGCAAAGACGCCAACAATGACGACGACAACACCAAGAACGACACCACCACCACCACCACCACCAACACCAACACCAACACCAACAAGCCCTAACCTGGTCAACCTCCTCCGGGGTAAACTTCATCGCCCGCCCGGACATGTCCCCCTCCGCCGAGTCGTAGAACTCCACGAGAGTAGTCCCCCCGTCGGCCTTGTAGCTCTTGATGGGCAGGCCGCAAAGGTAGCCCGCCAGGAAGTGGGCGGCCTCGTGGCGCACGCGTCGCTCTTCGTAGTCGTCCTGACAACACACAGCGACAAAAGGGGGAGGGGGGTACTATATAATAAGGGAAACGCATCAAGACGTATCGGTGGAGGTCCCTGTTTAGTGCCGGTTGCGGGTATAGTGCCCGTGCTTTGGGCTCGCACACACTGGAATATCAAGTCGTTCTGTACTTTGAATAGTGCCGGTGCCCGGTATAGTGCCGGTGCCCGGTATGGTGCCGGTGAAAAATATTGCGCACACTCCGGCAGTAAACAGGGGCCTCTACTGTATTGCCCTCGTATCGTCCTGACAACACACAGCGGCAAGGGGGAGGGGGGTACTAAGGGAATCGCATCAAGAAGTGTCGGCAGACCATTGTCCTCGTATCGTCCTGACAACATACAGTGAAAATGACAATTAGGATTGGAACCCATGTAAACGTCTGCAGTAGTGTTGGTAGACCGTAAGAACACAATTTCCTACAACGGTGGAGCGACGTGCAGGATACTTGCCGGGTCGTGTTACTATTGACATGACCAGAATCTGTTCATCGTCCTTGCGTGTGCTGTGCCAAGCCAGATACGACAGGGCGGAGTGTCTCTGAAAAATTGATCGGTCGCCACACACATTTCCGCCAGAGACGGGTCACTGTTTCAGCCCTTGACGATTTGTAGTGTTGCTGGAGGGGCGCGGACCGGGGGATACGCTGAATCCTTGGGTCGATACGGGGGGCGGGCACAGCGCCGCAGAGGAAGGTGTGCTATTTATCCG